ATTTTAGATAAAATGCCTAAAAAAACACCTAATTAGGGTCAATCCATCAAATCAGAAGAAGCCTTTCAGCTGATATCAAGTCAAACTCTGCGAGTCATATAAATTTAATGTAGCCCCATGCTAAACATACATTCATGTCTGCATACGGATGGCTGTATCAACAGTATCTGAAACTACTTGATACTTGATGACACTGTGAATTTCCATTTAAGTTTTGGAATATAACTAATATAACTACTTTGTTTTCACTGAGGGTAAAATGCCATTGTCCACTCTCAGTCGAGGTTTCCTCTGAGGACCTGACCTCAATATAATTATCTAAGGCTGATGTTAGAAAGATCCAGAAAAGATTTATACTGCAGACTGTAATTTTCATATTTACATTTTAAGTACCTATAAAATGGAAATTACTGGGAAATGTTGAGTCTGAGTTTTCTTTGACATTGGCTTTATGCAGGTATCACAGAGTACAATTACTTTAGTACTCTATATACTAGAGTATCCTGATGCATGAGGAAATATCTAATCTATGATATATAAAGAGTTTTAGAGACACCTACACTGAATGAACCGGGGTATTAATGACAGAAGAGTTAAATGTACATTTAACAATATGTGTGAAAAGGTTTTATGTGTCAGATACCACTCTTCAGAAAACCAGAGAATAGAAGGAAATTGTGATCTATAATTGCCAACGTTAAAAATATGTAAGTTTTCAAGCTAAAATATTTTATTAAAACTAGGATATGTTTTATCATTGTTTAAATCACTGTTAAACTTTTATATTTTATCAAATGTGACAGAAATTCTCCGTCTTCATCAGCTGCACCTTGTCAGTATCAATGGATTGCATTATATCTCATAGATCAATCTTTGCACCCAATAATTACCATCATTTGTAATTTAATTGCATTCAAATCACTAGAGTCAAAATATGTAATTGATGAAAATCCCACAATCATTAAGTATTGCACTGTAATTCATAAGAAAAAAAAAAAGGTTTAAAATGGGCTAAACTCTGAGTGTATATTCAACTGTTTGACAAGCAAAAATGATTGATAGCGGGCCACATTCCTGGTAGGGTTATTAAGACTGGAATAATGACTGAAGTGATTTGCACAGATGAATCAGTTAGTCACATTCTGTTGTGTGCTTCAGAAGAATAAATGACACAAACCATGAAACCTAATCAAGTATCCTCAATGTACAATAACAAATTATATCATGCGTTTAATCAATTCCTGCTTTGAAAAGTCACTGTTACAGAACTTTAGTTATATTTAAAAATACTTAATAGCCACCAAACCAAAGACAGTATCTATATCAGATATCTTAGTAATCTAAAAATAAGGTATAATGTCCATGCTATTTTTTTAGGCTTCATTTATAGCCTGGATTTTATAGCCAATGGCAAGACATGGTAATCTTCAGAAAGTAATTCATCTCACCCTAAAAAAAGACTCAGAGGAAGGTGAGAGACTTGCCTTCTGAAGGTGAAGCCAATTCTTGAGGGAATCTAGAAATCACTGGGTACTCAACATCAACTTTCAGGTATTTGTAGCTAGATAGGATGAGCTTGACATAAACTGTGATTAAATGAAATGACATGCTGTCAACAAATAGGCTTCAGTATTAATTGCATGTTTCATTCTTGAATTCCTGAGCTTAATTTGCTGAGTATCTGTTTTCTCTCCTTCTCTTCCCTTCCCTTCCTCCATCCACACTTAACCTTTGTATTTTACTACAATATTGCTAAGAGGAACACTTGCTTCAATCCCATTTACCAGCTGAGTAAAAGGTAAAACTTCACAGGGCATATCTACCTGAGAAATACTCTGGATCCATAAAGGCTCTATATAGTTTAATTATAGCTTATTTTCTTCCTCTGGAGGAAAATTTGAATCATGAGTTTACCTCTTCGGACTCTGCACTTACCTTTAGGATATCAGAATTTGTGTGTTCTGGCCCTACCTGAGAAAAAACTGTGCAGGACATAGATTAAAGGAAAATCCATACTATAGAATTGTATGTCCGAAATACAGTACAAGTCCACATTAAACCAAAAAAAAGTAATGAGTCTCCTTTTAGAAAGCACTGAGTCCACAGGTATTCCCACTAAAATCCCTTTACGTAAGTGTTGCATAGAGAAGAAGGGAGAAAATGGTCTGAAAAACTTTTTGATGTTTTATGTAAATATAGCTGATATAAAAAGCTGTCTAGTGACCAAGTGAACAAGTAAGCTAGTTTTAAAATAATTTGTGTTCTATGGCCTGCCAAGAGACGAAAACCCAGAAAGAGATATGCAAAGCACAGTTAATCCAGTTTGAATATACTTGATTCCCAGAGCATTCTAATAATACATCAGCATACTATACCCTTTATATCTAAAGAAAAAAAATAAAAAAGAAATAAACATGGTTCTACATCAAATCAAAATGTCAAGCTTAAACTTTGCTATGAAAATCTGCATTCTCCCAGTTACACACTGGAAATGGTTGCCTGTCTTTGCATGTGTGTGAAGAAAATGGCATCTTTCTCCCTACTTGTTTTACCCTGAATTGCTTTCTTTCCTTTGTTTCATGTATATTTTGCTCAGAACAACCTGAGAAAGCAAAAAAAATCTGTGGAAAAATAAAGAAAGAAAAAAGGATTTGATCAGTAATTCTTTCTATTTCAGCAACACCTGACATGGTGTTCTTATGTATTTTTGGACATATCACCCGTAGCACTACTTTCATAAATTACTGGAGTCATACAAAATGCTAAACAAAATATCTGCAAACAGGAATGCTGCTTGCCAGGCCTGTGGCACCTGCATCACACTGCAAGTGGATCCTGAGTTTTTTCTGTCAAATTCAGATTTGCAAATACCGTTAAAGGTGCCATCTCTAGAGTCCCAAACTGCCGTTTTACAAACTTTTTATATTAAACAGGATTTGCAATTGGGATCTGTTAGCAGAGAGGTGGCTTGAGACTCTAGTCACTTACAATTTCTAATCCATTTTCATAGTTTGCTATGAAGTTGTTATGAAATCAAGATTAGGATATGAGGCTGAGGGCTCTGATTTTATCAGAAAAGGTGGCTTGCCTTGGGTGGTTGCAATAACTTCTTCTGCTCTTGATCTTCCCCTTCTCTGAGCAGTTCCCATTCCTACTTGGAAGAACAGTTCTGCTACCTGTATCACAGTTCCTGAACTGCTAATTTATAGCCCAGGATATTAAAATGAGTTGATAAAAAAAATTATTTAGTTTACAGTAGTAGTTCATAAACAGTGACTGTAAAAACAGCTGACGCATCCCTAAGCAGCCAATGAGTAAAGTGTGAGTGGGTAACCAAAGTGGGAATCATGGCAGTTATCGTAAGTTAAACCATCCCTGTTTGCGAATCAAAACCTCGATTATACTAAGACTCCTTTGGCCGTGTAAATTCTATTAGCTCACTTAGACTCTTTAGCATCTCTAGATTAAAATATAGTACAAGTGACATGTGAAGCAGAGCTGCAGATTTATTTTTTAATTGCCTTAGTACAGGTATTTATTTTCCTGGTAAATTGTTTAGAAGGATATCTTTAGGAATATAGTTGAAAAATAAAATCCCTGGATTTCAGTGGATGAGGTCAATGCAAGTAAATATATTCCTTACAATAAGCAAATTAAATGCTCCATGGTAAACTACTCAAAATATTTTTGAACTTTTTGTTCTGGTGGCAAGTGTAACACACAACAGTATAAACTCCAAAAAATATTAATCATAATATTTCTTCAATCTAGATTATTAGAAGTATTTGCAAAATAACAATAGCAAAAAAATCAACCTGGTCTTTTCTTTTTGAGATTAATTATAAAAAAAATAAAAGGAATTATTTAGATAGAGCATCTTTATGTTTCAAATAAAGTTACTTTCCTTGTAGATCTTTTTTTCTAGCACTTTGGAAAACAATCGTTCATATTGTTGCCATCAAAGAAGTTGCTTCAAGCCTGCACTTTGTTTGTCTTTATAACACACTAGCTCATATCAGAACTTCTAGAACTAGAACTTGGCTGGGTACTGCCAAGATTCACTTTGTGAGTCAGAATACTGCCGCTAGAAGTATTTGCGGAAGTTCACATTTAATTTCTTATACAACTATGTTCATACAAAAAGATTGTGGTAAACAGAACTATAGTTCTCATTTTGCTGCTATGAGATTCAATGGCTATATTTCTATTGAAATAAGCAGGAGCAGGACTAGGCCAATAATTCAAATAATATCCGTGATTTACCTCTGAATGCCTACATTTTTGGGAAACCTTCACACAGATACAGGAAGCATTCAGGCTGACATTCCAAGTATGGTGAATGACAACATTGGCTGAATGACAAGTCCTCTTTGTCTCTCTTCCTAAGCAGTATTCGGTATAAATTTCAAGATAATAAAGGTCCATGGTATACATAGCCTTCTCCTTCTCATCCTTTACATTCACTCCAGAGAAATGATGTGACCGGTCTGTGCAGTCAAGGCTCAGAAATTTCCTCAGCCAGGATTTGTGAAAAGCAAGAGCCATAAAGTCAGATGTGATGGGAGTGAGAGACAGATAACAGTGTATCCTAAATAGATATCAAGAGATAGCGAACCTGGGTAAGAAAAAAAGAAGAGGTCTGAAATGAAGAGATTATTGAAGAGGATGAATATTTCATGGAATCAAAAGTACATTTAGCTTCAACCCAAGTAAGCCGCAGAAGAAGCACCAGAACTTGGAGAGGGCTATGAGGCCATATTATCCACTGGGTTCTGAATCACTCTACTAGCTGTAGTTACTGTAGGACAGATTTTATACCAGTCGTGCACAGAAAAGAGACCAGTCCTTGAACTCTTGGAAAACAAAAAATAACTTTCAAAAACTGTGTGTGTTTTTTTTAAGGAAGTAGTATAATTAGACTTGTATGTAATGAAGAATAATTTTAATCACCGAAGGAGTACTTTGTTCAAACCTTTTTTTGTTTTAAACTCTGCACTCAGGAAGATCTGTTAACAAGCTCAGCACAGAACCACTGAGAATCATTCATGAGGCATTGGAAGAATCCACTGATTGGCTTTATGGCTTTTTTTCTTTACTGTCTGACATCGTATGGAGTGATGATGATGACAGTGATGAAGGTATTCATAATGCAAAGACTTCTGTAACTGCTCTAACTGCTGTTTTACATGCGTTATGTTGGCTTACTCAGCTTTTAACCTCACAGCGGAGAAGGTCAAACAAAATGAAAAGTGAACGTTGCTGCTAATAAAGCATCTACTGGCTATACCAATCAGTAAATTGGTCTCTTTGTTAGCTTTCATCTTGTGTTTAATGTACCATTACAGAAAAGCTGTCAGAATTAAATATTACCATTAGTACATCTTGAAGTAAGAGTGCTAATTTACACAAGACTTCAAAGATGCAACCAAAATATGCATCAGGGTATTGCTTCAGAGAATGGCAATAGCTCTTTTCTTTTAATATGTAAGAATTTAGAGAACCTTGACAAATATGCAAGATAAACCAAGAAACTTAGAAGAACTTTTTTATTTGATATATTGCTTATGGGTCAATATCCTGGCAATAAAAATGAAAGAAAAAACAGCATTTTGACTGGACTAAGGAGAGTTTGGATGACAAATAGCAAATAACTCAGTTTAGTAAAAATTATGGGCTTGCCATTATGGTAACATTCTTCATCTGATACCAACTGATAAATGAAACTAAGCTGCTAACATTTCACGTTTGGAAATAACTGTCCTTCTCTTATGAGAAAATTAGTTCTCTGGTATGAGCAGAGTAGCAGTGGATCATCATGTCATGTCATATTGGTCATTTTGACAAGTGATGACTGTAGCAGTGAGATCTTCATTTCACAGTGGTTTATTTCATATTTTATTTGATTATAACACAAGATAATTAAAAGCAACATGTCCTGAAACTGTTTTCTATCAATTTCTTCATGAAATGCGGAATTATGAAATTTCTACCTTTTAAATATGTGCATGAGCTTTTTGTTTCAGCATTGTATATGACTACTAATAGATAAGCTGCTACATGTGGGTTCATGAATTGGTCATCCTATTCTGAGATCTATTTACAACCAGAAGGCAGCCAGTCTCTCCTACAGCTGAGAAATGAAAAAGGTGAAGTATGGAGAGCTTGTTTAAAATTGAAAAGTGTTCATTTTTCTAATTTCATAGCTCCTGAAGCACCTGAGCTTTCAAGCACTTGAGTGGATATGTATTAATGCAAGTAGGAGAGATCATAAAATACCAGATGCACAAAAGATAAAGATCTGAATGCTCACTAAAAGTATTTGGAAACCTCAGTTCTGCTAGCTGTTGGTTAGAGGTGGTCAGTCAATAACCGCCAAGAGTAGCAGGAGGCAACTTACTGCACTATATCATAAAAAGTAAATTCATGTGTGTTCCCTGCACATTGTGCATTGCAATCAATGCAGATGAGGCTGCATGCTGTACACAGTCATCCGGACTGAATCTTTTAATGGTCTTAGGTGGAGGCAGAGTAACAAATGTGATGGGCAAGTGCTCTGACTCCCACCGAAACCAAGCATCTTTTTACTTTATTATATTTACAGTCTTGCTTACCTGCATATATATTCTATAATTGGGAGTTAAAATTGAACTATCCTTAAAACATGGATCAAGCAAACTGTAGATGTGTAGTCACACATTCAAAGCACAGATACAGGTTTGGATGTTTCCTTGGTTACTACTGCACACTGAACTTATCTTCTTAGACCCTGGAAAGCTTCTAGGGTAAAAGAGATGTGTTATGAAAATCCAAAATCTCAGAATAGAGTGTTTTCCATTTAGCATATAAAGAGCTGAATATATTTAAAAAATGAAAATGAAGCAATAGGAGAAAATATATATATTTTTATTTTTGTACCTCTTGTCTGATTTTAGTTCTTTTCTCTTGGTTTAGGTGAAGTGGAACATTCCCTGAAAAGAAAAGGTTGGTCAGTTGCCTTATTATAAAAGACCAATATTTTGTATCATATATGTTAAGAATTGTCTAGCATGTCTGTGAATAGATTCTGTCACTGGTTACCTGTCAAACTACTAACTATGTATGTTGTACTTTAACAAAATCATTAAATAAGACTGTGGAGTTATAAGATTTGCTGTATTGCTTGCTCTTCTGGGAGAAATCTTGATTGTTTCATTATTATCCTGAAAATCTGAAAAAAAGTGTTCATAGCAGACCAATACGACTACTGCAGCAATATTGTCTGCACCTTTAGTTCATATGTGAGACTCCTATTAATGTCAATTTGAGTTACACGTATGCCTGGAAAGAAAGAATATCTATTAAGAAATAATGTCTAGGTACTGTTGAACATTTTGCCTTGTGTCAGTGCAGACTTCAGAAATAAGGACTGCCTATGAATCTTCTAGAAAAAAATTCTTAGTTATCGTTGAATTTTTACAGCAGACAAGGATGAAGCAAGTAGGATGTATAATATAAATCTTTTAGACATGAAAATTGTTATGCTGAAACATAAAACTTATGTTCAACTTCTATTAAATCAAAATGAAAATGTATTAGAAGGCTTCAGATACTGGTGATATCTGGTAGAGCTTTTCAAAACTAGGGACATTTTGCTCCAAATTGAACTCATGTTGATAATATCAAGGTGTGCTACCAACCCATGTGATTTGAATTTTCTATCCATCAAATTCTTAATACATAAATGCCCTTATTGAAGAATCTATCACACAGTTGGTGCTGAAATTACTACCCAGTTTTCCCTGAAGTTAATTGGAATTGGATCAAGCTTCTATTCAATGACACTTTTTGTCAGTCACAATAGGCTGTCCAGGGACCAAATGGCCTTGAAGACCAGGACCATTCATCTTTTTACGGACAATCCTTCATGTTAAGACTGAAGAAAATGCATAGGCAGCGTAGGGAAAATTTCTATCTAGTTATACTGTCAGTAAGATTATGTGGAGGTCTTAGCCTTATACTCTTTTTTTTTTCCCCCAAAGAATGTATTTAATTCTTACAGTAGACGCAAAGACTCTGAAGCTGTAGCACATTTCTGAGAGAAACCTAGGGTACAAGGGCTCTGCTCACCATGGGTGGGTGTAGCTACCAAGCTGGGCATGCTGCAGAGGTACTTTGCTGTTGGGAAGGCTTAATCCATAAAGACGTAACAGATGGCATAGTGCTCAGTCGGGATTCAAAGGTCAGAACCCTCCTCTGGAGATAAATACCTGAGAAAGTCAGCTGGGTTTAGCATGTGTAAGATAGAAGAGGGGCTTGTGGTTCCTCTAGAGCTCGGGATACTCAACAGGAACTCGATAGGATAATGCAGCCACCCACACATGAAAGAATGAAATTCAGACTAGTTTCATTTGCCTCATCTGTGAAAGAGATTTTGAGTGAGTTTTTTTCACTTCCTATATGCGTTTTTTAGACCTTTATCTCCTTCTTGCATAGGATGAGGAATCCCATCCTTGTCTGCTAGCTGTTTCCAGCTCCAGAAACTAGCTATTTCTTAAGAAGGACTGATGAAAGTAGTAGTCTAAAGCCCTTACTGGATATAGGCATAAGCTTTCACATAGCCACATCCCCAAATAACTCGTTACCATCTCTGGATGACTGGAGAACTCAGACTTTCATCCAAGCAGCTAGGTTTTGGCCTTAATTATACTGGATTTTGTCACCATGTCTGCTCAGTGACAGGCAGCTGTTGCTCCTCAGAGCTGTTATTTTCTCGCTTTGCAAGTTTCTCTTAAAATAAACTTCAGTTGAATGGCCTCAGCCCAAGTCTATGCAGCATTTCTCTGAAAGCTCTGTAAAAAAGACTAGAGTCAAGAGTTTTACTCCTTAGATGCAGTAAAATTCACTCCTGTGGCTAAAGCACATTAGCACTTTAGAAATTAGCTCTGGGAGGTAAGGCAAAGGCTTGAATGAGTCCTTGTAAGGACACACAGAACTCACTACGTCTTCCTCAAAGGACAAGGTGCAGATCTCTTTAAATAGCTTTCCCTAAGAAATATATAGCATCACATTTTTGGTCTACAAATAATATTTCCAGAGATAAAGCACTCCAAAACATTGCATACATGCTTTTTCCCTCATGGCTGCTGTTAGGGATAGGTCCAAAGGACCAGTAACTCACAGGCATTTGAGCACTTTGGAAAATAAGAATATTAATAGTGATCTGCAAAATCACTGCCAAAGATTTAGTTTGGAGTATTCTCCATTTTCACTTAAAGGACCATTTCTACATTTCAGTGCATTCCATTTTGTTCAACACTGCTTCCCACAGCTTGGTGGTGGCCTTCCCTTAGCAACTTGTGCTGGTGGCATTTGAATGTCCCCCACAAATAACTGACAACACTAAGGTCATGTAGCACAATGCTGCCATCTTCAGAAAAATCGTGTAAGAACAGAGTTTGGTTCTTTCTTCACATCTATTTTGCAGGGATCCTCTCTCAGATTTCACTCTAGTGATATGCATTTGCAGTGAAATATTGCTGTGTATAAATTTTCACTCACCTTAGTATTTGTTTTGAAACTAGCCCACTGGCACTGTGTCAGGAGCTTTCATGAATAGATTGCTGAGAGCTTTTCAAAAACCTCCATACTTATTTTCAGTATATGGACAAGCCTTCAATTTTCTGCTTTATTGACTAGCACATTTTATGAATGTTTAAAACATTAACACACACACACAAAAATATTTTGTAATGGAAATGTTGCAGCTGCATGAGTAGTAAGTTCATTGGCAGCACAACACAATTATATACAGAAAATAAAGCCAGGGGGAGAGGTAAGGACATTTTGTAATGATGAGGGGAAAAAAGTGCAATGATAATTAAAAAGCCAAAGAAAGCAAAGATAACCTTTCTAGAAATATAGATTGAAAGCAAAGATAATAAGGATACAAGTAATGACAGTAGGCTGGCAGATGCAATAGGGATAATATCAGTTGCAGAATCTTTTGCAAGTATTTAAAGGGTTTCCTAGTACCTCTTGATTGTAATATATTTTTTTTCAGCCCTAGTCTTACTAAGCCTTACTTTACTAAGAATATTTATCGTTAATATTTGGAAAAGTGTGAATATTTCATATCGTCCGAGAAAAAAAAATGCAATTATCACTTCAGGTAGTGAAAGATCACTGTGTAAAGGACTTTGCAGTCTTCCACACAAAAGACTGCATGTATACACAAAACATACTAAAACTGCAAATCATTTACACAAAAATATATTCAAAAGGCTAATAACAGTTTCTTATAAGCTTAATATGTTTTGACTTCATTTTTTCTAGAACAATGGTTATGGCTGACAATACTGTTCATTTTTTTCTGGGTTAGTTTAACCTTTACAGACAAATCCAATTACCTGACAGCTGCATGTTTTCTCATATTTTAGTTCTTTTATTAGAATTTGTTATTATAGAAACAGAAAGAAAAAAACATTATTTCTTGGTGCCTGTAGCCAGTTTTAGTTGTGAAGCTGAAGAATGGTTGAGAAACATGGTACACTAGTACTAGAAATAGTCTCCTGTAAAAAAATAGGCAAATGCAGAAACTTCAGCATTGTTATCTATGGCTAAAAGTTTAGTTATTAAACTAGGGTGGAACCTCACTCCAATTTACTTATGGGCAATTGAAAATTTAAATTCCAAGCATTCTTAGTTTAGCTTGGCAGGATATATGTGCACAGCTGGGCACATGTAGTAGGAGTTTCTAGGTATTAAAGTAGCATATTCTTTCACCTCAAAATACCCAAAGAATTCTAGCTGGAAACCATAAATGTAGTACTTAGTTTTGGGAGGAAGTTGTTCTAACTGTTTGAAATAGCTTCTATGGTCAGAACTATTCTTTTTTATTATTATTATTATTTTGTATTTGGAAACTTACTAAACTTTCTCCTCTCCTGTAAGATAAGCTGCTTTGATTTTATACTTGTACTTAGTTGAAATCCACTTTCTCACTGAGAGGAAAAAAAGATAGCACTTTTCTAAGTAATTTTCATTTTAATAAATACCAAAAAGTTAGAAAGAATTGAGCAAGTAAAAATATGATTATGGTATTTTTACTGCCTCTGCATTACCAAACAGATCTTTTTTTGACACACGATTATTCTATACCAACAATCAAACAAGATTGATTTCTCTGAAGTAGAGACTTCTAACCTTGTGTGAGTCAGGGTGTATATATATGAGATAGAAAGAACTATAAAAATAAGCATCTTACATGAACCTATTTTCCTTACTTAGCTGTAAGTCTCATTTTATTTTACAAAATGCAGTTAATAACTGGCAGATCAAAACAAGAAGTCACAAATATAGCAGAAATTTCAATTAAAAGTTTCCAGGAACTTTGCTAATTACAAATAAGCTTTTTGGCAAAGTAACTTATCCTTCATTCAACTCTATCTCCTGTTCAAATGAGAATATGGTTCCCTGAGCACTAGATAGAGGGTTATTAATATGCTGAAAACACACAGGTCATGCTCTTAAAAGACCTGACAATTTCTAAGGGAACGGTTGGTTAAGTTAATGTAACCGGCAGATCTGGCCCAGGTGTATTAACCACACAGACCTGACTCCAGTATTTGCTCCCATTAACCCTCCAAAGGCTAAGACAGTCAGGATTTGTTCTGCACAAACTGTTTATTTGTTCAGATCTGGGTATTAATCTGAGCAAACAGGAGCAAATAAAATGCTACTAAAAGTAAAGGGTGGGATCATTTCCTAGATTTCCAGTTAAAAGCGGTCAAATAGCTCTAGCAGCCCTGCCTAGGAATTGGAAGAGCTGGGAACAAGCAGCTTGGAGAAGGCTGGTTGCAGATTTGCTGATCTGAATTTGAAAGTGGTTTTTTTTGTTTGTTTGTTTGTTATTATGGGCTGTATAGGCCTAAAAATAATTGTTCCAGGCCATTCAAACAGAGTAGAGAAAGGCATACTAACAAATACTGGAGATTTTAGTTCTG